CTGGAAAGCAAAAAAGGAGGGCCGGCTCGCGAAAAAGAAGAAGAGGAGGCGGAGGAGAAGTTTCGTGCACGGCCGGCCGGCACAAAGAACGGCGAGCAGCGGCCGCAATATTTCTGTCATGCTACATTGAATTCGTGCGCGTTTTCGAACGCGACTCGTTCCCTCTCTCGTTCCGTTCGACGAACAAGACTCGTTTCGAAGCAACGCGGGGAAAAACCTATCGATCCTGTACTACCATGACTGCCAAGACAGTCGTCAAACTTTTATACGGTTGAAAAAAATGTTTTAACGTTTCAACCGCTTGCCGGATGATTTCTTTCTGAGCTGTGATCGATGTAGCTACTGTGTTATTAACAGTTTAGTAGAAATAAGAGAAAATTCTAGGATTATTCGATGTCGATGTTTGCTTCTGAAGTATAATTAGAGATAACAGAGGAATAACATGTAATTTGTATTCAAATGGATTGAATGGTATTTATGTTTGTTAAATTTTGTTTCAAATCTTCGCCAGGAGTTAATGCTATAGTATTAATTCGAGTAAAACTAATGTAACATTGTACAATGATATACTTCAATTTTGAATGGTTTGTAGTAGTAATTGATTTTTAAATTTACGTGGAAAATAGTGTCACAGGGATTCAGGTGGCTGTTAAAGTGCTAGACACGGTGTTCTCCTCGATGTTCGTTATTTTTTTTTTGTATTTTCGGTCGCGGTTTATTCTGAAATCCAATCGGCGATGTAACAATTCGCAGAAAATTCGCAACGTTTAGTTCGGTTTCGTTCGAATTCGGTTCGATTGGGTCCGAAGCGTGCGAATGGGGAAATAAAATCAGCGGCTGGGCGTGCCCGCGCGAATCGTTTGTAAAATGGAAAACAATTATCGGTAACCGTCGATGTCCGATTCGATTAAAATCCACGGCCCTGCCTGTTCGCGCAGTGTCACGGGGAAATTGAACCGATGAATGGCTCGCGTCCGCTCTGGATATTTTATAGAAAAACGTCCGCGGGAACAAAGTATAGGAACGATAATTAGATTCGACAATTTCGAAGAATGAATCGGTAGATTGAAACAATTCTGTTGCCTTCATTATGCCCTGAACTACATTAATATCTTGTACACTCTTCATTGTAACGAGTTACATTCAACAGGGGACTGCTGTTGTATCATCTCCAGACTTTCCACAGAATTAACCCCTTGCCTTATAAATAACGTGTCGGACTCATGGTGAAAATTTTAAACAGAATTTGATACTGGTCTTGGTTGAAACGTATCGGCACATTGTGCACATTTATTTTTAAAGTAACAAGCTGAATAACTGACTACAAAATTAGAGTAAACAAATTATATGATCGATTTTTCGCAATGTAATTAGAAATAGAAGACAAGACAAAAGTTGACAAACTGATTAATCGAACAATACAGGGATTGATATAAAATTAAATGGTCGAAATAAAACGTAGGATTTCCAATCTTCGAAAATCGGTCATCGGTACGT